TCGAGCCACCAGAGAATAACAGCCGAGGATGGAGGAGCGGGAGAAGACACGACAAGATGGAGAGACAAGAAGAAGAGACAGGAAGGAAGAGAGAAAGATGGAAACAGGACCGGAGGAGGAGGACACGAGGAAAGTAAAAGCTTGAGAGCAAGAAAAAACTAAATTAAAGTGAGAGTTGGAAAGAGCTTAGTGAGTGATTGACACAGCAGAGTACTGCATCGTCTGCAAGTGACAGCAGGTGAGGGAAGTAGGTCTTAAATATTAAAGCGACTCAGCAGAGAACCTGGGCAAATGGCCCCTACTGATATGGGACATCCCAGGCTGCACACACACACACACCTACACACACACACATATTAAAGTACACAGACACCAAGGGCAGCATCCCAGAGCAAAGCAGAAAGAACACGCATGTTTAATTCACAACCCTCCATTTCAGCATGTTCGTGTTCCTACGCTACGCACTGTGACCCCCAACCCCCACCCGCGCTCTATGCCCCGCACAGCGAGAAGTAGGAAGTGAAGTCAAAAGATGAGATGAACAAGGTTGAATAAGTTAAAGGGGGGGGGGAGGGGGGAGGGGGGGGGGGGGGGGGGGGGGGGTAAATCCAACAACATCTCTTATTTCCCAAAGCGGTCCTGCAGTAATGGAAGTACAACATTCCTAACTAATCCGGTTCCTCTCCTGGGCTTTCGACATGCCCTCTTCACGTCAGCGCTGTGCTCCCTGAACGTGACTCCCTTCTCACAGCACACCATCCAACTTCCAATACATTATGCCTCACTGCTCCACACATGCATTATAAGTGATGACGAGGGGGATGGGGAAGATTGAAAGAGGGGGGGGGGGGGGGGGGGGGGGGGGGCTGGACCTGTTGTGACATCGATCCTTTTGTTTCATCCAGGATAAAAAAGATTGGTTTGGCATAACACAAATGAATGATTCTTTGATTTGTTAGAGCCGGTCCAATTCGGATGACATTTATTGTGGACATTTCCAATTCTGGCAGAGATACAAGGAGGAGTACAGAGTAGGCAAAAGCAGACGCTTGAATGAAAAAGTATTATTAGTGTCAGAGAGGTTCACTCCTGTCTTGTAGATCAATATTTCATCTTTTTCTTTTATGTTGTTTGTTAAGCCTTTTATTGTAATAACAGATGTTTTCTTTATCTATTTATTTTCAGGTGCATTCTTCTTAAAAAATCAATAAATAGTCAATAAAGAAATCACAAACAATTAAATAGAATTACATTCTAAGAGCGCGAAGGAAGATTTTTCCCATTCTGCTTCATGTATTGGGGTCTATTTGCAGGATACAGGCATCAGATGAGTGGGAGATGAATGATGGTGTGGACACATCACATCTGGTGATAGCCAGGGTTTGTAGTCGGGAAGAATTGCCTCAGTTTCTTGAGGTCTGAAGCTTCTTCTTATACAGCGTATATTAATTATAATTATTTAGAGATGTTACACATTTTCTTGCAACGTTACGAGACCACCAGTCAATAAGGTGGAAAAAGATTAAAGCAAAATCTTGACAGCACATGGTCCTGTCGTGATAAACCTCACACAACATTGAATATCAACATATTTATACTCAAATGAAAAGTGGTTAAAAATATTCTAGTGTCAAGAAAAAACTGATTAGAACTGAGCTTAAAATTCATACTGTGAAGACTTGAGGAAATATTGAGGAATAATTTTAAACCTGAGGAGTTTCTGCAGGATGTCTCTAGAATCTCGTACAAATCACAGTTTTCAGGGACACCTGCAATACCTGTGATGATGACTCTGCAGCCAACTGCTGATAAAAATGACAAGCACAGAAAGCCCTTACATGAAATGTGACATAATCATGACAGTTAAGTTTGCTTCTTGGCAACTTAAAGTCGCTTTAACACCAAGAATTTCACACGCTGCACTGCCCACCTCCACGTACTGTATTTCCAATATTTTAGAGCACTTGCCTGCCGAAGAGCTTTTTCTGTATTTTCTTGGCACTATCTCCTTCTTTCAGTTGTTTCGCTTTCCATTTAAAACATTAGTTGCAGATTACCACTGAGCCAGGATAACCAAGGCATAGCTATACTGTAGATTGATTTTAACATTAACATGTGTGTGTGTGTGTGTGTGTGTGTGTGTGTGTGTGTGTGTGTGTGTGTGTGTGTGTGTGTGTGTGTGTGTGTGTGTGTGTGTGTGTGTGTGTGTGTGTGTGTGTGTGTGTGTGTGTGTGTGTGTGTGTGTGTGTGTGTGTGTGTGTGTGTGTGTGTGTGTGTGTGTGTGTGTGTGTGTGTGTATGTGTGTGTGTGTGTGTATGTGTGTGTGTGTGTGTGTGTGTGTGTGTAGACAGAGACGCGAGGCTCTGCTTGCTCAGACTGCAGGAAGCACAATATTGTTTGTTAGACCGCAGTAATCAGGCTGAATTGTTACCGGCCCACTGGGATTTCTTTCGATCCTCCAGATAATCACCCCTCCACTGACAGCAGGTATAAAAGCAGCAGTCCAAGAAGTATTACATTAAGTCTGGTATTGCTTTGAAGGTCAAATGTGTTCGTTGGGGTTTCTTTATTCCAACTATTCACACCATTTTCTTTTAAATGTGTGTCTTATTTGGAAATGAATGAGCTGCTTAAGTTCAGAGCAGTGGTAAAGCATGGTCATTGGGATGAGATCACCCCCACAGTGTGAGTGTTGAGCACATGTGTCAGCCTCACAGAGTCCTCATCACCTCCATAATGGTCTAGTTTGGCTCTGCACCCCAGGCGAAAAGGCAACATGCTGCAACACAGCAACATGACTGGTGACGAAACAAGTCGTTGATCGATCAATTAGACGATCAACAGACAAATAATTGCGTTTATTTTGAGAATCAATCAATAATTTAGTAATTTATCAAGAAAAAAACGCCAGACGTGACAATTTGCTCATTTCATCTGGTTTATATCGTTATAAATGTAATATATTTGGGTTTGGTACTGTTGGTCAAACAATCAAAGCTTTTTAAAGATGTCACTTCTGGATGTGGGAATTTGTGTGTATCCATACTAATGTCTTTATTACTGTACATGTATTAGAGTGAGGAGAGGTTAAGTACTCCTTGCCTCTCAATAAAGGTGTATACTGCAGCCTGTTCAGTATGTTTGACAAAAGGGAATGTGTTTCCTGCTATTGATTCACATATTAGCAGTTTTCACCATTGTGCAGTATTTCAAAGGCGTACAAAATAAAGGATTATTTAAAAAAGAATCAATAGGTCATGAAAACAACCCTTGCAGGAGCTACAACAATACACAATGAAATCATTTAAAATGGACCCAGGGAATTCAGGGGAGGAAAATCATCAATATCCTCTCACACTTTTCTCCACATATTTGAACTATGTCCCTCTGACCACTCACACATCATAAATTGAGAAAGAAACAATGCATTCTCAATGATTTTCTGACTCACTGAGCCTCCATACTTGCCTTCCAGTGGGCTGCTTTTGCCCTTATTATAACCGGGCAGGGAGAGTTTTTATTTACAGGACAGGCCTGCAGGAAGGAGTTGCGGGGGTCTGCTTAGTTATGCGCTTCACACACTCACGCTCACACCTGGGAGATGCAGAAAACGGACACACTCTTGTACTTTTGGCCACTGAGCAGTTCAATTAGAGCAGTAGGGGGTTAAGCACCTTGTTTAATGGCACATCAACGGCAGCAAGTGAAGGAGGGAAAACCACAATTTATTTATTTTCCACATCATTATATACCCAGTGGGAGGTTTAAGCCGGTGACCTTCATTTTGCAACCTCACTCCCTTGACCTTGAGGCCAACGTCTCTCTTCCCTTCCTCTGTCTCTTTTTGTGTCTTTTCTCACTCACTGCATCGCCCATCAACTGCTACTTCAAAGGCTGCCGTTCTGCAGCAGTTATTGGTTCCTGTGTTTTGGCTGCTGTGCCCTGAGAGAATTAAAAGGTAAAGAACCAGTTGTGTTTTTATCAAAGCTTCAGTCTGTCTGTCATATAACGAGGTCTACAGAGTCAGTACCAGAGAGAGAATTCAGCTAAGAAAGAGATGTACATCCCTAACTTTGCAGTGAACACCACACCAAACAAAAAAATCCAATCTTAAAGGATGACTTTCTTTTCAAAAACGGGAAATACATTTTTCTGGCATCCCACTGAGCTCTTGGAGTGATGCAGCTACAGCTCATGATTGTTCTTTTCCTTTTTCTGGGCATTGCATAGCCCAGTTTCAGCCCAAGCAGAAAATGCATTATTATATATTTAAACAATGCTTGATCATTTGTGGAAACTCAAAAATGATGTACCAGAGAAGGCTGCATGTTCTATGCAAAGACTTCTACTGACCTTATGAATACTGCACTTCATAATGTGCACTATGTAACCTCTCGGATGCTAATGAACATAAACTGCTTAGGGTGATAAGAGCCATCAATCCAGTGCCTTTGCAGTGTTTTTACTCTGTACTTATTAATACTTAAAAAAAACGAATCCGCTAGAGCAGCTGTGATTGCAAAAACAAGCTTCCAAAACCTCCTGGTGTGTCTTTTTCTAATCTGCAACTTGCTGAATACAATTCCTCAGACTTAAAAATGGCACAAGGGAAGCATGTCCGTTCTTAACTCAAACAACCACAAACAAGATCCATTAGACCTCTATTGGAAAACGCTTTGAACATTTATATTGCCACCAGCTGAGAATATAAACATAGCTCAGATACTTTATAAAATAACATTTGTATATTGTGATTTATAGAGCGTGTCATTTTTCATGCAGTAGCGTAGAGGATAAGGTTGAATTGTGAGTTGCATTTCAGAGTCTGACCTAATTGCTAACATGCCAGGACATCTGAGAAAGTGTAGCTTAAGGAGCTTCATCCTTCAACATTTGAAGGTGGCTGAAAGGAAGGATTACAACTAATCTCCAAAACAAGAAACACTGTAGGGAAAGAAATATGTTCTGTGTGTGTGCTTAGATGTGTCGCGGTCGCTCACCTTGTCAGCCATAATCATAGAGGAGCCTCCGTGGACTCCCAGGATTGGAAGCTGCGTCTGAACGGAGAGGAAGTCGAGGATCTGGGCGATGGCCTCCTGATCGGTGCCATCAGCAAACACAAGGCCATGGAGACGAGTGCGGGACAGAAGCTCACACACCTGGGGACACAGGGAAACAAACTCAGGTGTGTGTATATTTGTGTGTTATAGACAGCGTGTGTATGTGTGTAATATTGATGAACAGTGATGTGACAAGTTCTGCGTTTAATGTGCTTTATTTGAATACATTGTACTTCTAAGATTAGTTGTTATGGAATACTCGTTTCAACTCAAACACATTTACAATAAAATATGTGTACTCTTTTTCAGCTACACTGGGCAGTGGGCAGCAAACTAATTGTTATCCCAACGGCTACGTTTAGCTTCAAATCATTTTAATTTTAGGCTGCGCTCACATGCATAACAGCAATTATCCAAGAGCGACCAATAACATGTCCTTCCAGCCAATCAAAGCACTGCAGCTCTTCCATGTTTCTCCATTGTGGGACTTCATAGGACAGAGTGGGTTGTATGCTGTACATACTGTAAAACCCCCTGAGTGTATTTTTATATATTTACATAAATAAAATGTGATTAATCTGACTGAATGGTGTGTGGCCTACCCCCTGCAGTTAAACTATAATGAAGATCATTGATATAAAAAAGCCATCGTTTCCTATAAAAGTGATCATCCCTAATAAAAAATGCAGACTTTGTTTGCTTTTTAAATGACAAGAAGCAATTTAATGGGCAACAATTATTGTGGGGTGCCCACTTTGTCAGCCCGGAACAGAGACAATCTCAACTTTCAAGAAGACCAAATCGAATCTAAAAAAACATTTGGGGATGTGTTTGAATGTTTTTGTATCTGATGAAGTTATTCACCTTTTGACGAGATACCTTTTAACGCTTATGTATTACTTTTACTTCTACTTGTGTTATAAATTAACAATACTTTTACTTTGTACTGTTTTTGTTACCCCTACCATCCCTGTTAATGACTGTACAAAATATTTCTAACCTGTGTGATGACAGATTTAGGGTCCGTCTGGTTGATCCTCAGTATAACCACAGAGATGTCCAGGGTGTCATCGGGGCGCCGATCCGGGCGAAGCTCCTGATCGGAGAGGTAGCGCGTCTCGCCCATGATGACACCCACACTGAGACCTGGAGGCTTCTGGGACGCCGCAGGCACCATCATCTGGGAGAGTAGGAGCAACATCCAGCCCACTACACCCATCATACCCTGAGAGCACACAAGCACGGAAAATTAACCCAAAGTACCATCTTGTCAATGTAAGTAACAAAGCTGAAATAAAAAATAAGTGACAATATTTCTTTGTCTTGTCCCGTTCTCTTCCAGCTATCAGCAGCATGCACATGTAACCAAACTTCCTGTAGGTAGTGCGGCCATCTTTCAATCAGAAGGTTGTGTGTTCGATCCCAGCCAACATGTAGGTGTATCCTTGGGCAAGATACTTCAACCCGAGTCATTCCCGATGGTATGGCCAATGGAGTGTGAATGTTAACTTCCTTGAGCAAGTGGCTCTGTATGAATGAGGTGTGAATGGATGAATGTACAAGCGCTTTAAGAGGTTGTAAAGACTAGATAAAGTGCTATATAAATACAGTTCATTTTCAATTTACCATTTTACATGTGGCTCAGAAGTAAGATTCATTCTGTTAGTGATTTTTTGTCTTAGTCCTGTGTCAAATGTCCTAGTTTTGATCTACTTTCGGCCTCTCTTTCATACACCAATGATTATGTTTTTAGTATTAAATTTGGGGTTCAGTAATCTTGGATTAATTTAGAGCTCAACTGTAGGAACTGCCAAACTCCCAATCTTCAAATTGTGTGCATGACCTGCTTTACTTCCTGATTTACAGCTGCCCAAATGTAATATAGAGACTATAGATTCATCATATACGTATATAAGTCTGGGTATTATTTATTATGTTAATCAAAGAAAAGTAGTGGTTTGTAGTTTTAGTCTGTAGACATTTTAGTCTTCAGATGATATGAAACATTTGACTCTCTCTAGTCCAGCAAAAAATATCATCTTGTTTCTTTTTCACAAGCCCTGCTTATATTTTCCCTGTGTCCTACATGAACTCCCACTTCTTGCTATCTTGGTTTGCTTGAAAGAAATTGAGTCACACCTTTTCAAACAAGTAAAAAATCGACTTCACCGTGCTGTGGACGGAATAATATATTTCGGACCATCGGGATATAAGAGTCTTGTTTATTCTGAAAATGTCTTCAAAAACGCTGTAAGTGCTGTAAAATGACCTGCTGGGTTTCTCAAAGAGTGGCTTGTGCTAGGAAAAACAGTGCGGTATGTGAGCTGAATGTGATTATTAGTGCATGTCTCAACTGAAGTGGCAAAGACTACATGATAGGAACACACTGGAGCTGGGAGGTACTGTCCTCATTCTGTCCTCCTCTATTCAACAATCACACATTTCATTTTTCAAAGTGTGCAACCATTGGTTGAGCAGGGTTAAAGGCAAACTTTATTTTTGCAAAATAACTAATCGGGCTTCATGAGACACCCTAAATCTCTCTCTCTTCCACTGTCTGTCTTTATTTGAACATAATCTATGCCTGTAGGCAATGTTCAAAGTAAAGTGTTAGCTATTAATGGATAAAATAACCCTGAAATAAATGTAATCTGATTTACCCAAGTCATGGGGGTATGAGGGGAAACATTCCAAAACGCTAAAGGCACACAAGTGTCTGCATCAATCAATAACATTCACCGAGATGATAAATAACGTTTCTTTCAACTCTATATCCTAACCAAATTCCAGTCTAAGACAGAAGAGTTTAAGCTCCTGTTCCCACTTCAACTTACTCTGTGTTACCTTTTCCTGTCATGTGAGCAGATCTAAGAGGAGCAGATGAGTAGAGCAAATGCAGTGTGAAATGCCTTGGGCTGAATGAGAGCTAATGAAACCATGATGCGAATGCTACGTTGCATCTCAACAATTTCTTACACCACCACAGTCCAGCAGAGCTGAAAAACACCCCGGGAGGAAACATCACGTCCACAAAATTAACCCAGTGTCTCTGTATCTCTTCATCCTGCCCTCTCCTCGTTTTTTTACTTTGCATCCATGTATGCTCTCCATCTTTATCCCAATCATTTGCTCTTAATGTGCCTCAGCTTTTAACTCTTTCTATAATTCTGCCACTCTGTCTTTCCGGATGGGTGAGTGTGTATATCTGATCCATGTCATCTCACACCCAGTCTAATCAGGCCAGTTAGTCAAGTCAGTACTTTCCCAGCTTGCTCTCTCTGCCCTGGCGCCCACAGACTAGCCTGCAGCTCCAGCAGCACTTAGCATACGCCGCTAAATCACACACCGCTACACTCCTGTCCCAGGAAATTAGTGTCAGCTCCAACCAACAGGACAAGATTACACTAACTTTCCCTGGAGTTAGCATCAAAGCTAACATCACTAGATGAAGTGTGCTGTGCCACAGCTTTCAAAATGGTCAACATAGCAGCAAAACTTTGGGTCACTGAGTGTTCCCGCTGTCATGCAGCACTTGGATGTCTGCTAAAAATCATTTCCGCTGACTCTTGTGATGAGCATCCAAAAGGTATGTAACCGTATCTAATGTCTTAGCGTTTATGCTAATATTTCCAAAAAAAGGAAATAATACAAGACCTTAATAATGTAACAATATGCAGCAGAATAATTTTCCAGTGTCCTGCTCTTCAACAATGTGTTTTAATGGTAGAAGAGTAACCAAAAGCTGCTTTACCGCAATAAAACATGGGAGCTGTTATTTGTCATCATCTAAACATGTTTCCTCAATTGTACAAATGTGCCTCTAAGCAGCAAATCAGTCTTGTCTATTAATGTTTTTATTCTCATGGCTAAAGTTAAATCTAGATTTGTGAAAATGATGTCTTTCTCAAAGCTATGAAAAACACACCATGTGTTCAAATGGGATCTGGCGTTAAGAGGCCCTCAAGCTGCTTCAGGGACAATGAATCAGAGGACGTCATTGTGCACAATGTAACACAACCCAGAGTGATTTTACTGGGATATAAGCACATCTTTTGGTTCAACAATGTTAGCCCTAACTCCTATTAAATAAAGCTCATGTGGGTGTAATTGCTTAAATCTATCAGTCCACAATTTCATTCTTTCATTCATCGCCAATGAAGCAGCTCTACAAAGTGTCTCTAGATGACAACACAAATTAGGCTCGCGGTTATGTGGCCTTGTTTCCCTAAAATAAAGAGATATTCCACTCTAATTCTGTTTTTTTAATAGCAAACACTCAACCTTTGTGGGCTTTAAATGGGGCTTTACAAGTTAGTCATTTCCTCATTACCGAACAACAAAGATTCATCTGAGTTTAAATGGATTTAAATGATGGCCAGTTTTGACTGTGGACAAAAAATAATATTCACTAACTGAATCTTCTGAAGCACAACCACATTTCCCATTGTCCATTAATGTTAAACACTAATTTATGCCAGAATGAACACATTTACAAATCAGTTTGTGTGGAGGATCGTTTCATGGCCACAATTGTTGTGTCTAGTTCCTTTTTCTATTAAATGTTTCCAACTAATTCTACACTATTTCCCCTACTAGGTATCACTTTGACATGCGTTCAGTGCAATGTTAGAGTGAACATTGAATTATACAATTGTAAATGTGGATGCTGGTGGAGACAATATTATTATTGGCCAGCAATAAATACAATTGGAGTGGTGAGCTTCCGGAGAGGGATCATCTAAAAATGAATTTTATACCAACTATGCAAAACTAATTCAATAAAAATGTGAGGCCCTGTGTGCCCATCTATTAATCCCAATCTTGTATGTCCCCCTTTATTATCCTATTATAATTGTATCGAGCCTTTCCCTCAAATATTGTTATTAACGCACCTGAGAATTGTGTAGTTGAACCTAAAGGTTTTGTAACATTGAGCACATATTAGTCGCCACTAAATGTAGTGTATTTTATTATTAACATTTCCTTCACAGCAAGAGAACACCACATTAACCTTCAACCTACACACTTATGTATTTGGCATTAAATGAGACAACATTTGGCTGTAAGCTTTCCAAAGTCTCAAGGTTAAACAGTTTATCATTTATTTTGTGTAATGTGGCACAGCCTCTGAGGCTTATGATAGAAATTGCCACCCTAAAATTACGTCTTGGCACCTCATTTTCTACCACAGTTCTTTTCATTATGAAATGTTCTTTTTACAATTTGGTTTTGTTAATCCCCACAGTACCCAGTTCCAAACTGAGCATCAGGGCAAGATTTATGTACATATTTGCACTGGCAATCTACATGAAATTAGTGGCTGGATTACTAAAGCAGGAACTAATTATCAGACTGTTTTTTAGGTGCATCCTGCATATAAACCAGATTCCCAAAGACACAGTGCAGCAGTGAAATGGGGGTAATATGGGGTAATGAACCATGAAAGAAATCATCCTTAGAAAAAAGTTGTGATTCTGAACTTGTTAAATGTTAAGTTTCCAAACCCTGATTGAAAAAAAAAATCAAGTGTGCATCAGCGTAATGCATTTTGAGGAAGTCAAGTTCAAGTTCAGGTTAGGTGGTGGCGAAGTGGATAGGGACTTGGGTTGGCAACTGGAAGGTCACCAGTTCAAGTCCCGGCAAGACCAAGTGCTACCGAGGTGTCCCTGAGCAAGGCACCGTTCCCTACACAATGGCAGCCCACTGCTCCTAACACTAGGATGGGTCAAATGCAGAGAAACCATTTTGTTACATAGTAAGTAGGCCTACTGTGTAATGACAATAAAAATAAAAAAAATTGTTTAAAAAGGTGACCACAAAGCCACATCTCTCCACACTGTTTGTGTTTTGTAAAAACATTGTGTACTGTTGTGCCTGTTTATTATTGCTGCATTTTTTATTCTAAGGAGCTGTCACTCATTTCTAAATAATTCACTGTAGCTCTCCTACACATGTTTCTGCTGTCATGGTGATTTATGCAGAAAGCAGGATTATTAATTTGTATCTCCTCCACCACAACCTTCCCTACAATTTCAAAACTGCACCGGTGTGGTAAATGCAAAGACTTTTCCTTGTCAAATTGACCCTTGAATATTTGGTGAGTCTCAATGTGCTAGAATGTGCAGTCAACCACTTTGATCAAATACTCCCCGTTATGTGTGCAATCCTGCTTTAAATGCATTTGCATGAATAAGAGACGCACACTTCACTGATCGCACGCAAGCA